AAGTCATGGCTTAGTGCACTCAGTAGAAGGCTGAGCCAGGAAGGTTTCTCAGAAGAGAAGAGTGCACTGCTCCTTCCAGAGTGGGCTACTCATGGTGGACCGTCTTGGGGAGGAGGTGGCACTCCTGTCCTCAGGGGCGAGGAGCTGGTCTGGGAGTCAGGACACATGGGGGCGGAGCTCCTGGTGGAGCAAAGCTGCTGGCATCCTGGCCAGGAAGCAGGAGACAGGAGAGGCCCAGTCCCGGTCCCCTTGAGGGCACCTTGGATGGGCTCCGCCCCTTAAAGGCCCCCATGCTGAGGTCCAGGCTCTGCCGCAGGAGCCTTGGGGGAACCAGCAAGATCCAGAGCACAGGGCTGAGGTGGGTGCCCAGACCCCAGGTCTGCATCCTGGGCTCTTAGCAGACTCTGCCGGTCCTGGAGCCACTGCAGGGCTGCCTGGCCCTCCCTCCACCACCTCCGGCTCCCTGGAGAAGCCCAGGGTGTAGATGCCCCTCCCCAGGAACCAGCATGGGCCTCAGTACCTGCTTGGGGCTCATGCACTTGGGCTTTTCCCTGTGGAGCCTCAGGTGCCCTCCATGCTCAGAAGCACTTGGGACATTGGCCAGAGGCCTCAGGAAAGGGACACACGTGTCCTTGTGCCCCATCCACCTTTGGGACATGTGCCTGCTGGCCTCACCCAGGGTTCCTTCGTGCCTGTTCTGCTGTCCAATGGGAATCTTTGTTGGTGTGTGGTACTGGGGGTCGAACCCAGGGCCTTCACACTGAGCTGCAGCCCCAGCCTTCCCTTTCTTTCTCTCTCTCCCTCCCCCACCCCTCTCTCTGGTCTCGCTAAGTCACCACATTGCCCAGTCTGAGCTTGAACCTGACATTCTCCTGACTCTGCCTCCCATGCTTGTCTTTGGGAATCTTAAAGAGATTTTTAAAAAGCAGTGGATGTTCCTGCCGAAGGTGGGCACAGTGCAGGCAACCAACTTCCGGCAATGAGAGGGCAGTGGCCTCCAGTGAGGAAGCTTTCAGGCTCGACCTGCGCCAGGTGACAAAACTTTCAGCACCAGTGCCCTGGGGAGAGGGGGACCCGGATGTGGTGTGAGGGGCCTACAGCTCTGCCGTCCTCCAAACACGCAGCCCAGGCTGATCCTGAGCCAGCGTCAGACAAATTCCAACTAAGGGGCAGCTGGGGACTCTGGCCAGTGTTCCTCACTCCTACCCAGGTCGTGCAAATGCAGAAAGGGCTGAGAAGCGGTCCAGGCTCAGAGGAGCTGGAGGAGATGAAGCCGGAGGGAGAGGCGCTGTCCTCGGTGCTGGGTGGGAATGGGTGAGATCCTGGAGAACTTGGGTTTCCTCAGCAGCACCCGGTGCTGGTGTCGGTCCCTGAGCTGTGACCGTGCACCAAGGTGACCCAGACTCGTGTCCCACCGTGCGTCTCAGGGGAGAGTCCAGGAGTGCTCTGTCGCCTGCAGGTTTATCGTAGCTCTGGAACTATTCAAAATGAACAGCTCACCTGTCAGCTCTCGGGTGAGGCCAGGAAGGCTGGGTGGGGCGCCCGGGTGAGCGCGGTCCCAGGGGAAGGGCCACATCCTCCCTGGGCATGGGGACGCCATGAGAGTGAGATAGGATGCTCAGCTGGGCCCTGGGCTTGCTAGGGGATCAACTCTCCCAGCAAGTGTCATCCTCGCTGGGTCCCAGAGCCAGGGACGACAAGGTGGTCAGGCTTGGGGTCGGAGGGAGTCAGGACAGGGCTGGCGAGGGTGGGCCACCTGGCAGACAGCTCCCCCCAGGATGCCGGACGGCCCTTGCTGCACAGTCGCAGGGCTCCTCGCCACCCCTGTGTCCCAGCAGATGAGGAACCAGCCCCTCGCAGAAGTGGCTGCCAACTCCAGCCCCGAAAGGTGCGGCTCCAGGTAAGGAGACGTCTCTCTCTCTCTCTTAATTGACAGTGATTTTCTTCTGTGAAGGAAATGTACAGGAGGTGGCGAATTGAATTTCAATTCACTGAATCTTATTAAACTGTTCTAGGGGAAAAAGAGATTTCAATAAAAACTTAAAAGGAAGAGAAGCAGGAAGGCTGCAAACTAGAAAATAAAGGGCGATGGAGCAATGCTTCCCACGTGGAAGTCGGCAGTGCGGGCGGCTCGGGGACTCAGAACGTTCCTTTGAAAAGTGGTTTTGGGTGCTGCCCAGCGACAGCTGTCCCTGGCCTGTCCCTGCAGGAGCAGACATGGGCACTCAGTGCCTCGAGCAGGGAGGGCATCTGGCTGTGGGGAGTCTCAAGGAGGATGGCGTGGAGCAACCCTGAAGTTCCAGCTGCATTCGTAGCGATGCAGCTGTACCACAGAGGCGCGCTCGGGTCCCCTTCCACCTGCCAGGCCAGGGGACAGGATTGGGGCACGGAGCCAGCCCAGGCCAGCACCCTGGCACCCTGACACCTGCCCGTTCTCTGCCCTGCTCCTTTCCTTTGTACTGAGATCTGATTCCCGTGTCCTTACATTATTTGCCTCTGAGCGTGTGTGGCTCAGCGGTTTTATGTGCAGCACCCCCATCACTTCCTGGGCATCGAGTCACCCAAAAGACACTGGGACCCAGTGAGTGGCCTGATTCCCTGCCCCTCCCTCCCCAGCCCTGGCTGACACCAGTGTTCCTTCCGTCTCTGGGTTTGCCCGTCTGATCACTGTTCGTGAGTGACTCCTCCATGCAGCCGGGCACCAGCTCCTTCCCCCCAGGACCCCGCCTGTGTGGCCGGGCAGCCCTGTGGGGCTGGAACACCACGCATGTCTGAACGTCCGGCTGCCAGTGGACACTTGGGTGCTTCTGGCTCTGGGTCCTTGTGAAGGGCCACCCTGGGCAGGGGTGTGCAGGGCTTTCGTCGGGCAGATTTGTGCGTCCGAGGGCAGAATTGCTGGTCTGCGGCTCTGAGTATCTCGGGCGCTGTGTGCCACTGTCACAGCCAGGTCGCATCCTGGCTGCATGTGGAGCTGCCTGATTCGCTGCTCGTAGCTCTCCCTGTGGGCGGCATGTTCTGGGGGAGCGGGGCCCCTAGGGTGTGCGGGTCCCGCGCCTGCTAAGATGGTGATGGTGTGGCCGGCAGCTGTGTGCAGCCTCCCTCCTGGTACAGGGTCCCCGAGGCACCGTGGCGTACGCTTCCTCGGGTACTGAGAGTGCTGGGCCCACAGCGGGCATCCTGGCTCCCGCCCAGCTTCGAGGCCAGCCGGGGTGAGGCCGAGGTCCTGTGGGCTCGGGGGTCCCTGGAGGGCGCCAGTCTTGCGTCAGCCTGGGCGTGCCCGAGGGCTCGGGGTTCCTCTCCTGCCTGGTCTTCTCACTGCCCGCTGTGCGGCCACTGTCTGCTCAGCCACCGCTCTGTTTTCCCTCTGAACAAATGCACCACTGAAAAAGGAGCAAACCGGACTGGAAGAGGAGAAGCAGATCCGCCTCCCCTGCCACATTGCAATGGCTGGGTTTTCTGCATAACAGCTGGGTGTCTTGGAAATGAGGGGGTTTCTATGGTAACCAATGGCAGCCCATGATTGGTGAAAAATCACAGAAATATCCTGTGTGCGAAGTTAGGCCAGGGAGGCAGGCCCGGGCTGCGGTGCTGCGGTTTTCATTCCCTGGAGCAGTATTTCCCCAGGTGCGGGTGACAGGCGGGCAGCCCCACCTCCTCGCTTTCGGCCCAGCCCCCCTGGTAGGGGTGGCAGAGGCAGGGATGGGGGCCGCTGGTGAGGCCCAGAGGGGTCTCGGGGGCCTGGGGAGCCCAGGGGAGCCCCAGCCTGCTCAAGCAGCCTCCGTCTTTCCCTAGGGCAGGTCCCCTCGAGACCTGCAGGCAGGGGAAGACAGAGGATCCAGGGCTGCTGTCCTTGCCGGTCACGGGCAGCCCTGAGAGCGTGCGAGGTGCTACATGCTGACCAGTTTCCCTGCCCTGAGTGCGTGCACAGGAGGCATCAGCATGAGGGGCCCTGCCTCCTGCAGGGAGCACTGTGGCCCCGATGCCATCCAGGGCCTCACTACTGGGGACTTGTCCCTTTGGCAGTCTGGATTTGTCCCATTGGTGAGCACCTTTTTTCTCCATGCTGATGACCCTCGACCAGTTTGATCCCAGGCAGCAGTGACAGCCAAGGAGGGGCATGCACACACGTGCAGCACTCAGTTACAGTCGCACACACTGACACGCAGGTGTGCACGCACACTCAGACATCTTCACACTCACATGTGCTCACACACTCACGGACATACTCAGATTGCATGCACACACACTTAGCACACGCACACCAACACAGCTGTACCTGTACACTTACACACGCACACATGGGCTCATGCACAGCCCCTCACCTGATTCAGTCCTTTTGAAACCACATGATGCTGGAAACACACCCTGGGGTGCGTTGCGAACCTGCCTGGCATAGCTGCTCAGGGTGGCCTCGCGCCCTGTGCCCCCTGCCCGCCCCTGCCATGGCCTCGTGGAGGTTTGGAGGTTCGTTTTAACTTTCAGACGTGAGGTTGGTGGCAACAGCTGACTTTGAGTGGCATTGGTAATCAGTCCTCATGATCCATGCTGCAGAAGAGGGGCGTGGGCTCCTAGCCGAGCCCCACCACGTGGCTCTTGCTGCTCTGGAAGCCTTGGGGTCCCAGCCAGTGTGCTGGGCAGAGCCAAGCCTTCCAGGGCTGAGCAGGGCTGCCCTGGAGCCCTGCAGGTCCTGTCACTGTCACTGTAGGTCCTCTGGAGGAAGGCGGTGGGGGATGATGTCACAGCCACCTAGTCAGGCCAGGGTGACACTGGAATCCATGGGCCTCCCTCCTCCTCCTAGGAAAGGGCTCCAAGTGTCAGCTGGCTGTGCCCTGTGAACCCTTGGGCTCGGCAGCCTGACTTAGGTCTTTGGGGAGTCCCCCGGGGCCGGCTCCAGGGGTCAGGGTCCCCGTTAGGATCCTGTAGCAGAGCCCCTGTTCCCCCGGGTCGCCCTCTGCGGGCTGTGGCTGGCCGTGACTGAGTGCTGTCCTCTCTCCACGCAGCTCCATGTCCATCCGTTGGCCGGGCCGCTCCCTCGGAAGCCATGCTTGGGTACTGATAGCCATGCTGCAGCTAGCCGTGGATTTCCCGTCCTGTGAGTCACTGGGCCCAGGCCCCGAGTTCTGGCTCATGCCTCGCCCAGCCCAGCGGCCCCCGCGCCTGTGGAGTCTGCGGAGCGGACAGCCGTCCCGGCCCCCCACGCCCGTGTGGAGTCTCCGGGTCCCCCGTGTGGAGCGGGCCCATGGGCAGATGCAGGTGTCCCGTGCCCGGCGGGCCCACAGACCCAGGGACCAGGTGCCCTCCCCTGGGCGTGAAGGTGGCCTGGCCAAGCCCCCGGCCACCTCCAAATCCAGCCCCTCCCTGGCCTCCTCGTCCTCACCCTCGTCCTCGGCAGGGGTGGCCGGCAGGGCGGCGGAGCAGCGACAGCTGAGGCGGGGCCGGAGGCACACGCAGGACCCCGCGTTCAACAGCTTCGACTTCCGGGGTGGCCGGCCCACCACAGAGACAGAGTTCATCGCCTGGGGACCCACCGGGGACGAGGAGGGCCCTGAGGCCAACACCTTCCCGGGCATGGACGGCCCCACCACGGCCTCCGTTCTGCAGACACGGAAGACGACAGTGGCCACCACGACCACCACGGCCGCCTCCATCACGCAGACCCGGGGCCTCACCGCGTCCCTGGAGCCCTGGAGAAAGGTCGCCATTGGGGTCAGCACAACGGAGCCTTCCCCCAGCCCCAGCAGCGACGGGAAGAACACCAGCCCACCACGGATTCTGGGTGAGACCTCAGGTAGGCGGCTGCGCCACAGCCCGCAGTCGGCCGGGCCATGTGCAAGGGGGTTGGGGGTTCCGGGGTCCTGCGTGCTTGGGGTGCGGGCTGGAGAAGGACACCGGGCTGGGTGTGGCTGCAGGACGGATGGGCGTCCTGTGTCTGCCAGCAGATCCAGGCAGAGGTGAGAAGCCACGTTGCCGTCCTCGTGTCGCCTGGAGTGGCCGCTGCACCCACCCTGCTCTGATGTCTCTGGAGGGGTTGAGGGGCCACGTGGCGTCTTCAGAATCTCAGAGTGTGGGCCTTAAGGGCCGGGGGGACTCCGCAGTGGAGCTTGTGCCTGGCTGAGAGAGGCGTTCAATGCGGAAAGAACTGGGCCAGGCAGGAGGAGGGACTTCCGGGCTGTCACCTGCAGCTCTGCAGCCCCGGTGCTCGGGGGCAGAGCCGCCCCAGGCTGGGCTGTGGCTGCGCCGTGGAGGTACCAGCTGTGTGTGCACCATCAGCTCTGGGACTTGGAAAGATCTGTGTCCTTTTTCTCCCATGCTTCCACTTTCCGTGTGTCAGTAGGAGGAGCCCTTGGGAGTCTCTGGGGACAGCATGTGTCCTCGTCCAGCAGTCTGGGGCACAGAGCTCAGAGGCCCGCCCTGTCCTTCCCAGCTCCCCCAGCTTCCCTTCCTTGGGCCTGGTCACTCAGAAGTTCACGGGAGGACCTGGGACGTGTCTAGTGCATCCTAGGCACACAGTGGTCTTTCTGGACTCTGGAAGCAGGATGTCAGCTCTAGGACACTGGCACAGAGGGCCAGGAGGTGCCACACAGTGTCCTCACAGTTTGCCTCCAGATTGGGCCCCTCATGTCTAGTGCAGGGCAAGGAGGACGGATCCCCAGAGCTCCCCTGCCAGCAGCTGGCACAGTGTCCCTGTTCCCAGGGTCCAACGAGACTGCATCCCAGCTGGGGCGCCTCCTGAGCTTTGGCGGGCAAGCAGTGGGTGGTGGCTGGACAGGGTTTCGTGAGGCAGGGGGAGGAGTCCATCCTTCAGACCATGAATCCCGCCCCCAGAACCAGAGAACCTGCGGTTTTCACTCTGTGCTTCTTGGCTCCTTGCCACTGAGGAGCAGCCTAAATATGAGCAGAACCTGAGAGCCAAGGCAGCGCCACGGCCAGCATTGGGATGGAGCTTGGGATTTCCTGGGAGAGGGCTGGAGACCTGTGGGAGCCGCCTCCCATGGGACCTCCGAAGGGACCCCAGACGCTCGGGCCATGGTCCTGCACACACTCCACCTGACGTTCGTTTTTACTTCGGCAAACTTATCCCTGTCACCCCAGTGGAATTCGGTCCCGCTCCCACTTCCTCTCACCTCTGAATACGTCACTTACCGCACAGACATGGATGAGAAACAAGTTCCCATTTATTCCGAATTACATTTGTTATTGCTAAAGTTAAATGCCCGGGACAGAGTTATAAAGCTGAGCAAATTAATTCACAGTACATTGGATGCTGCTAATCCAATTCGACAGATGCTTATCTCAGGAAAGATTTATGGTTCTTCATAATATAATCTGGTGCTAGATTAACTCGTTTAGCAAAACAAATCTAAAAGGGGGAAAATATGTGTGTTTGCTTTGAATGCAGAGAAATGTTAATTCTGGAAAAGGATGCTGGCCTGTGAGAAGGGAAGAGCCATCCACAGGGGCTGCTCTAGGGGCTGGGTAGTGCTGGTCAGCTTCCGGGCCGAGGGGAGGGCAGAGAGGACATGCTGATGGTCCCACAGTGGGGTCATCACTGCCTGGCTGGCACTGCTGTCATCGGCTCAAGCAGGAGCCGCTCCAGCTAGACCCTGGGAAGGTGTCTGGGAGACTCGGCATCAGTGCTGAGCACACAGCGCGGGGCCCGGAGGCCACATGGATGCGGTGGCCAGAGTCAAAGATGGGTCTGACCACCAGAGGCTGGAGAGGCCTGTCACACTCAGGTTTGCCGACTCAGGGCCGGAGGCTCCTCAAACCTAGAAGCAGGGTTTTAGGAAGGGATACAAACATTTGTTAAGTCAGTTCTGTCATCCAACGAGAGATCTTAGGATTCAGGTCTGGGGTTTGTGAGTTTTATTTTTGCTTCAGTAGAGAAGCACTTAGAAACAGCAGGTTACATTTCCTGTGTATCCATAGGGCAAGTGTTCCTGGGCACAGTGAGCCCAGGGGTGGTGACCGGGACGCTCTGAAATCACCCAGGAGCCAGGGTTATATGGAGTAGCTGCTGGGATCCACAGAGAGCCCTTTCCTGAAGGTGAATAAGAGAGGAATCAACCCCAGATTTTAAAATCACGGTGAAGACTTTCACCATCTCCCTTCAAATTCCTGGCTTCTCCTTGTATTTGCTGTGTGAACTGGGTTGACCTGCTTGTCTTCTCTGTGGCTCAGTGGGAGCATTAGAGCTGCCTAGCTTGACATTGTTGGAGAGATGGGACAGTGCCTGCCCTGTGTTCAGTAAGGGTGATGGCGATGCTGATGGTGACAAAAGTGACGATGATAAAAATGATGGTGGTGGTGTTGATGGTGATGATGATGATGTGGTTATGAAGGTGCTGATGAAGGTGGTGAAGGCAGTGATGGTGATGTGGTGCTGATGGTGGAGATCATGCCGATTTGCTGCTACTGACTTTATGTGGTCATTGAATGAGGTACTGTGGCCTTGTGGCTGACCTTGGTGCTCCACGCAGAGGGGTAGATGATGCCAGCCAGGCACTGCTTGGGATGGAAAATCACCTGGTGCAGACTCGCAGCAGCGTGGAGCTCCAGCCTCTCATGAGTGCCGGCAGAGGAGGCTGTCAGATGGGTCAGGAGTTCGCCGGAGGTGGAGTGAGGAGGGCCCCGTCCTGTGACAGCTCGCTCCCTGCTCATGCTGTGAGTCTGAAGTCACTGAGTCTCCCAAGAGGAACACAGAGTTGTTTCCTGAGCTGTGATCTTCAAACTCGGAAAGTGAGCTTGTGAGGAACCAAGCCAGCTGGTCTTGGTGACTGCATCTGGCCCGAGGATGCCTGGCATGTGGGTGACGGGGGTCTAGGTGCTGCTTGGAAGGGGTTCTCAGACCCACACAGTGCCCCTCACCCCAGCCTGTCCTGGCGAGTCTGGCACTTTCCCAGCTGTCTGGTTGGAGTCTCATGGCCAGTGCATCACCCAGGAGGGACCGCCCTCCTGGAGCTCCCCGTTGTCACTCACTCGAGGCTTTCCTCTGTCCCATCGGTCACATATCCATGATCTCCTGCAGCTCAAGCGTGCAGTGGTGTAGATGTCACTTGAGACCTGCCTGGTGATTTTTACATTGTAGTCCACTCGTGCATTCCCAAGGATGATTTCTAAGTCGCTGTGTCCTTGTCATCAGAGAGCCTTCAGTGTCTTCTAGGTGTGTCTGCAAGCACGGGGCTGGTGTTATTTTCTTGACACCCTGATGCCCGAGCTGACTTGGGCAGCCTGTGGTCCAGGCAACCAAGGGAGCAAATGCGGTGACAGTGAAATATCTCCTAAACACCAGAACCGGAGAGGAAGGAGGCTGGGAGCAGAATAGCTGGGGTGGGGAGCAGAACCCTTCTCTGCCAAAAGCAGTGGTGGCATTTTAAATGCTGAACTTAATGAAGTTGCGGGATGTTTGCTACCAGGGAAGTGAATCTGTCCTTAATTTGAAGATATTTGAAGCAAATGACTCATGAACTTCTGAAGTTCCGAGTGTCTTAATTGGGATAAGAGCATCAAAGAACAAATAAGTGGTTGGAGCCCTGCGAAGCGTCTGGGCCTTGTGGACCCCAAGACCGCTCTTTGGAGTCCTAATTGGGGGTTGCCAACTCCACTCTGCCTGGCACATCCTGGGAGCTGCAGCTCGGACGGCGATCCGCGGAACTGTTCACGGTCACAGGTGACAGCACGCGTGGGCGCACTCTGGACTTGCGCAGCCCGTGGCCCCCAAGAAAGCTGCCGCCGCCGCTGCTTTTGCTCATCAGCGCTGTGCCACATGGAGCAGATCAGTGAGCTGCAGCTCACTGAGGCCGCTGCCACGCCGGCTCCGCATGCTCCTGCTCCAGCGTATTGCATTTGGTGCCTCCTAAGCTTCTTTGTCCCCCTCTTTATGAGGAGTTTAAAGATGCATTTGGGAACCCAAGATAGAGAAGACTGCAGAGAAATGGCAGGGAAGGACAGCAGAGGAAGTGTCACCAAGCCACAGCTTCAGGAGTCTCCCAGGTATTCGGCAGCGTGGGGCCCAAGGAGGATGGGCCAGGTTCTGTGAGGATACGCACAGCAGGGGCCCTGGGTGCTGTGTGCCGAGGGTGCTGGGTGGGATCAGCCTTGAGGAGCCTGGGGCGTGGGAGGAGCCCAGCAGGGTGACAGTCTGGGTGGGTCCGTGGCCTTGCTCTGGAGCAAAGGCAGGAGAAGATGACGGGCTGCAGCCCCGAGCTGTCCTCCTGGGGATGCACGACGGCCCGGAGAGACTTCCTGCTCACCCTGTCTGCAGCGGGACAGGGCAGTGCTGTGTTCCTGTTGCCCTCTCAGTGTCCACCCTGGGCTGCCCTTGAGAGACCTGCTGCTGAGCTCCATGGCTGGCGGGCAGAGGGCTCTGGACAGGACTTCAGAGCAGCCGTTTGAGGTGCTGTTGCCCTCCTCTGGCCCAGCCCTGCCCCTGCCCAACAGTGGCCTCCTGCGGGCGCCTGGCTGGAGTTACCACGACAGCAGATCATTTTCCTTGTGCTCGGGGATGGTCCCTCGGTGGTGCCGCCCAGTTCTGGAGCCTCCTCCACAATCCTTCATGCACCGTGTGCTTGGTGTGCGGCCGAGGCTGCCTCTGTGCTCTGGCCAGGGCCCAGCAGGCCTCGCAGACCCTGTCTCCTCGTCTGTCCCCAGGGCTTGGTGATCGGGGATGACAGGGAGAAAGTTTCCTTTCCAGAAGTTTCTTTCAGCAGCAGGGGAGCCACATTTGTCTGAGGGACAGAGGCTCAGGGTCTGCCTGTGAGGTGCCCAGGGGCTGGGACACAGAGGCGG